GCACCTACGGCATAATCACTAGCATCACACATTATTTCAAAAGGTAATGACCAATCGGGAGGTTGAATGATAGGAGCACAAGTAAGCAAGTTTTTAAGTTTAACAAAAGCTTCTTTACAATGTTCAGTCCATTCAAAAATACTATCCTTTGTTAGAAGGTTACTTAAAGGGCTTAGATATTACGCTAAAATCTTTGATGAACCTTTTATAAAAACCAGCATGTCCTAAGAATGATCTAACATCTTTAATAGATTTTCGTGTTGGCAAGTTTGTAATTAACTTGATTTTAGATTTGTCAATCTCAATTCCTTTTAATGAAACAATATGACTAAGTACAATGCCATTTGTTACCATAAAGTGACATTTTTCCCAATTCAGTACAAGATTCTTCTCTTCATACCTGCTCAAAACCTTTTCTAAGTTAGTCAAACAATCATCAAATGAATCACCAAAAATAAAAAAATCATCCATAAAAGTACCAAATGAACATGTGAAAGTAGTCTTCTTTATATATACTAAGTATGCATCTTTGAAACGTGGTGGTGCATTACATAATCCAAAAGGCATCCTTCAATATGCAAAAGTACCAAACAGACATGTAAAAGTAGTATTCTCTTGATCTTCCAATGCAATTTTAATTTGGTTATATCCTGAATAGTCATTTAGGAAATAATAAAATTCATGACCTGCAACTCTTTCTAGGATTTAATCCGTGAAAGGTAAAGGTAAATGATATTTTCTAGTCATTGAATTAAGTTTCCTATAGTCAATGCACATGCGCCAACCAGTAATAGTCTTAGTGGGAATTAACTCATTGTTCTCATTTGTTATCACAGTGACTCCAGACTTCTTAGGTACAACTTGGGTAGGACTTACCCATTTGCTGTCAGAAATAGGATAAATGATTTCATTATCTAGAAGCTTAATGACTTCATTTTTCACTACTTCTTTCATATTAGGATTTAGCCTTCGTTGCATTTCTCTAGAGGGTTTAGCATTTTCCTCTAAATAAATTCTGTGTGTACAAATCAAAGGACTAATTCCTTTTATATCAGCTATGGTCCATCCTAATGCTTTTTTGTGCATTTTCAGAGTTTGTAATAACTTACCTTCTTGATGTGCATTAAGTTTGGAAGAGATTATTACCGGAAAAGTTTCATTTTCTCCCAAAAATGAGTATTTGAGATTGGATGGCAACGGCTTCAAATCAGGTTTTGGTGGTTGAACACTTGAAGGTATGGACTTAATTGGTCGTGGTGGCAATTCCTCAATTTGTGGCCTCCAATTACTTGTCTTTGATTCTTCCTGAAAATAAATCATTTCCAAATCATCAGATTCATCAATCTCAATTTCATTGTCATATTCATCAATCTCAATTTCATTAGAAGTGATCCAATTCATTTTTACTTAAAGTAGATTCAAGTTGATCATAAACTAATTCGTCAATCTGATCTACTTCTTGTAAATCATTATCATCTCCGGGTTGCTTGCAAATGTTGAAAATATTCATCTCCAATGTCATGTTTCCAAATGATAGCTTCATCAGTCCATTCCTACAATTAATCAATGCGTTAGAAGCATTTACTATAAATTAAAGGCATCTTATATTATTAGATATATTATTATAAAACATGTTTTAGTTAAGGAGTTATTGATATTTTTAGTGCAAAATGATAATATAAAACCTTGATAAAAACAATATTAAAGGGGTAAGATTTTTTATTTTTTTAGTTTCTCTTTTTGCCTATGTAGCCACCTTTGATATTGTGAACCTCAATTTCTTTCCTTGTTATGTGTTTTGTTTAGTTACTATGTTTTACCTTGCTAGCAGTTGTAGTTCATAAGGTCTTTATTATTAAGCTTTTTTTCAAAGTTTAATGAAATAATGAGTTCTTCTTTCAATTTTGTCTCTTCTTTTGATTTAAAACTAAACATCATTCATTTTAGAAATCTTGAAAGAGAATCCCCATAATAACCCATAATTACACCTTTGCAACCTTGTATGATCTCATAATTCAAAATCTATTTTGCAAACATCTTTTTCCTAATGGGATTTTAAAAAATTAAACATGCTTTTGATTTTAGAAATAATTCAATGTTTGTTAAAACAACATTTTAACATTATATTTACTAGATGACAAATGAATTAATGAATCAAGCAAATCCCTCGTTAAGACCAAAGTCTAAACCAAAATATATAAATAGAAAAATAAACAGTCATCCTCACACCATATCTCTCGAACTATGTTTTAGATGTATGCATAATGATATATAATGGATTTGTTGTTCATGAATTCATAAAATGTATTTCTTTGCAAACTTTGAGTCATCATACTAGACAAGGTTAAATTTTATTGGCTTTCAATGCTAATACTTAAAATGAGGAAAGACCATCTTTTTTTATCTCTTTCATATTCTAAAATAAATATATCTCTTATGGTCTCCTTTTAAGCCTAAATAAATCTTCTTTTATAATAAAACCTTGACTATAATCACACCTTAAACTAGGAGTAAATGACATTTCAATGATCTAAACGATGAAAAAAATTATGAGAAAGCTAAAAGACATAAAAGCTCAAGAAACTCAAATGTTAGGGGGCATGCCCAAATCAAAAACAAAAGTGATAGTCAAAACCAAATAAGGATGCCCCACTAAAATAGTAGAAAAAGGCAAATCAAAGAAACGTAGTAAAAGAAAAAAGATTGAAAGATAAAATGAGTCAAGTTGATGATAGTGATCCTAAGTCCTTAAAACCTATGTTATGTGCCTTTAAAAATCCTTTTTAATCATGCAAACAAGTAGTAATATGGACTAATAAACAACGCTCTCAAAATGCAAAAGAATTTTTCATAGGAGTCATGATATAGTAAATAAGTTATTCATTATTATTCATGATGACAAAATAAGTGCTACAAAAGAAACATTTTTTTCTCAAACAAAACCTCAAGATTATACTCGGGCCTCTTGCTTTCAAACCTATAAAAGTAGAAACTCATCTCATCATGTACTTTCACCAATTTTAATCTTGTAAACACAAAAACAAATCATCCCTTTTTAAAATATTCTTAAGGAGTTGCAAATTTTCAAAAATAAATTGTTTTACACTCACGTTGAAATAATTTTGCATTTTTTTAATTTGACCTCCTTTTCCTCTCCAAAATTTTCACCCTTATTTTCTAAATTTAAAACTCTTTTTCTTTATAATATTCCTTACAAATTTAAAGCTTAGGTTTGGTCTTGTTGAGAGACTTCTAAGTTTTATTTTCTTGGTTTGTTAGACTTTGTTTAGAAGTGCATCTAAACATGATAGTGTTGTTGAATCCTAGAAGACTTATTGAAGACATACCTTTTGCACCAAATAAGAATCAATAAAGCCTTAAGTGAAAAAGGAATGATTTCTTATAACAACAAAGTTTGATCAACTTTAAAGTGTTTCAACAAGTACTTTTCTTTGGTTTTGTTTTAATTTATTAAAAAAAAATAGTGACTAGTATTCAAGGTAAGACCTTATTTTTAAATAAATTGCAAGTTTAATATTTTCTTGGTGTGTATGCTCTAATTTATTGCATGATTATAAACTTAATACATATATTTTTTTTTAATTTCATTTGTTAATTTTGGACAACTGGAATTTTTTTTCCTTAATAATTCCATTATAACTAGTTATTGAACAATCATGTTTATGAAAATCATAATTATACTAATTTTCATGAACCCTATGGTTGGTTTAAGGAACCTGAGTTCAAACTTCAAAGTGACATAATTATTACATTGTCATAATTATTATATTGTTATCCTACCAAATAATGACACATTATAAAAAAAATCAAAGAATCATATTATGAAAAGTTCATACCTTTACTCACAAGGTTTTTTTTCCTTAATGGATCATTGACATGACTAAAAGATTGATGTCTTCTCCCAAGTGCAAGAGTGTCAAAGTAATAAATAACTTGGCAAGACCGGGATCAAACTATAGAGAAGTTAATTATATAAATTATAAACAATAATTATAAACAATAATAATAGCAATAACAACAATAATAACAATAACAACAACAACAACAACTATAGTAGTAGTAGTAATAGTAGTAGTAGCAGTAGTAGTAAAGAAAGAGAAGAAGATGAAGATGATGAGAACTTAGAGATGGAATATTAATGTAAGGATTAAACAATGATAATAACAAATGTCAAGGTTAAAGGTTCCACTAATGGTATGTCAAACAAGTATA